GGAAGTTATCTATTTTTCATATCTTTTTTCTTTTACTTTATCTCACTTTTCCTTTTCTTTATAATTTGTATTTTCAATTTTCTTTTTCATTTCTAACTTTTAATTTCGTAACTTTTAAAATTTCAATAAAATATTATTTAAAAAAAAAAGATAAAACATTGCATATCCCAACTAAAAAAGTCAAGTTTTGTTTTATGCTTGGGACGAAATTCTCAAAGCGTGTATGTTGCTTGTTTCGTACTCAGATTGCTCAGAAAGGCTGTTGTAAGCTCAGGAGTTTCATGGTCAAAACCTATTGCACATTCCTATATTGATCTTGCTGGGTATTGACATTTGTCTAAACATCAACTTAAAACTGAATTTTAAGTAATGCTGAGTTATGATGCTCAAATATTATTAGGATAATTTGGGAATAAGCAGATTTTGTTACCATTTGGCCTTGATCAAATGGAGAGAAGTTCACGCCAGCTGATTAAGATGTAGAATGGAAGCTAATTTAAAAATGTATATGGTGCTGGTAATCCAGGTTGGGCCATGTTACGAGGATAGTTTTAGTTCTCTCTTATGCATGCACAATTTTTTTCTACAGAACATCTCATTACTATCTGTTTGTCAAGGTGAATTTTTGGTGTTGAGAATACCATGTTGGGGAAAAGGTTATAGTTTTTGTGCATGCTTTAGAATCCAGGTAAGGTGGCCAGATGTAAAAGTGTCCTCTGCTTTGGTTCTAACCCTCTTCTGATCCTTTGAAGCCCAGCTTGGATAAAAAAAACTTAGTGGTGTTGCTATGATAGTGCCAAGTTTCCCACAAAAGTTACACTGGCAATGTTGACTGAGCACCTGTGTTATCTCTGCAACTTCTGCCTTGATTCCATTTGGATGGTTATATCAGGTGACCTATGGACTTGCAGTACATTATCTTTCATAAGTCCTGTAACCTAAGAGTGGCATTTTTAATGCTTGCTTGCTATATTAAAAAAAAAAAAAAACATTCAGAGAAATATTTCATGGTGTTACCTTAGTACATCACAGATACCTTTGTATCTTAGCAATGATAAAAGTTAAATGTTAAATTTTATTATCTCTGATCTAATATAAATGTAGTGTGAGTTCTTGTGCTATTGCATTAACAGACATGGAGCTTGTTTATAAAGTATGTTTAGCTTTTCTCTTTTCTTTTTCTTGCTTTGGAGAATACTGGAATTTTGGTCATGGTCAAGGGCTTATTTTCATTGCTGGTCCTCTTTCTGATGAGTTGGTAAATACATTAAATTTCCAAAGTGGACATATAGGAGGACCTACATTTTATTCTGTAGAGGCTCAGTCAGATTATATTTGCCATCAACCCTCACTTGCTTCTTTGTCATCACACTTTGACAAACTCCATGCAACTGGTGTGACGCATTTTAAGGTGGTCTTGCCATGGACTTCTATCCTGCCAGAGATGAATGCCCAAAAACCAAACAAGACAAATGTGGAATGCTACAAACAACTTCTCAGAATTCTCAAATCTGCTGATCTTAAACCGGTTTTAATTCTGCACCAGTATGGTTTACCAAAGTCTTTAGGCACCCAGCTTGGATCTATAATTTTCACCAATCTTTTTGTTGAATATGCAGACTTTTCATTTGGGACTTTTGGTGAATTAGTGGACACCTGGATCACTTTCAGCCATTTGCCTGAGATTACAAAGGGATTACCTCTTGCAGATCCAAAAGTCTTTCCTCTACAAGTACTAGTTTCAGCACATCAAAAAGCTTATAAAATCTACCATGAAAAACACTCATTTGAAGGTAAAGTGAGAATGAATGAATGAATGAATGAATGAATGAATGAATGAATGAATGAATGAATGAATGAAGTGCAACTTTGGAAAATGTGTGAGTTTTAGAGATTGGGGCATATAGAATAAGTGAATACAGTACTCTAGTAAGCTGATACTGCATGTTCCAGGCGGCATCATAACTTGATGTCTTTTAAGACTAGCAAAGTAAAGGGTGATTATATCAAAGAGAGAATCCTATTGGTACAAACTTTCTCTTACTCAGTTGAATTCCTGACCTCTTATCTGCATTCTTATTCCCACAACAAAATTACAGACCATATTTTATTTTCCTGAACATCTGTCTTTAGTTAAACTGGCCACTGTCCTTGGCTTGTTCTTCCTGCATGCCTTAGATTTCTGGGAGACAATTTATATCTGATAATGCATGAATGCAAGATTTTTCATCCACAAATGGGGATGGGGGGAAATGAATTGGATTAGGGATCATGGAGCAATGGAAACTTCCCTAAATCATTGCTCCTTCTATAATCTCAGTCCATGAGTGTACCTTTGTATTGCCAATTGTCCAGGCAATTTGCCTTTATTGGCCATATGAGAGTTTTGGCCATATTAGGCCATAAAGTAATTAGGCATATTAGAGTTTTAACATGTACTTTCTTATTGCCAATTGCCTAGGCAATTGGTTCTTTTAATTTTTTTATATCCAGAGGCAATAAACACCAATAAGTAAGGAGATTTCAAACGTTATTGTTAACTCTAGCAAACATTTAAATAGGAATATAAAGATATAAGATACAAAATTAGCAGGTAGAATTAAACAGAAATACAAAAGCATAGTATAAAAGCGTAACATACCAAGCAAGATGATAACAACTCTTCCCCTATTGTCAGGAGCCACAATAAAGTGACAGCAGAGAGACCCCAAGATGGCTTAGATTACACAGCTCCTGGTACCAAGGCCTGTGTCCACGCTCCAGGACTCAAGGGGCAATGCCAGGGCTTTTTGTCAAAGTCTGGCACTGCAATCTCATGGCTCTGTTTCCATGGAGTCAGGGGCTGTGAGAATGACTTTGACCAGATGTTGCACCTGCTCGTCATGTGAACCAAGAGCCTGGGAACTATATAGATAAACTAGTGCTTAATCTAAACGATCCTGAGAGTTTTGTCTTCTCCCTCCCCCCACCCCACTTCT